TCACCTCCATCACAACCACAAAATTCAGGTTCTTCTCTAGAGGAAATTGTTAAAAATCTTGCTATAACACTTAACAAATTCAGCAGGAAACAAGGGCGAGCATCAAAGACTTGGGAAACCAAGTTAGCCAACTTGCCAACAGTGTGAGTAGATTGGAAGCTCAAAATACTGGAAAATTACCCTTACAAACGATCATGAATCCCAAAGAGAATGTTTGTGCAATGATGTTAAGAAGTGGGAAAGAGATCCAAGCAAGTCCACCTTCACCAATGAAAGAGGTAGAGGAGAAAGAAATGGAAGAAATCAACAAAGAATCTTCCAAAAATTCAGCAGAGGTAATACTAAATCCTTCATGGCTTAATACTTGTAATAAACCTATACTTCCATTTCCTACTAGGTTGATGGAAGATAAAAAAGTTGAACTTGAAGAAGAGACATTGAACACTTTCAAAAAGCTGATGATCAACATTCCATTGTTGGAAGCTATTAAGGAAATTCCCAAGTATGCAAAATTCCTAAAACAGTGGTGCACGAAGAAGAAGAAGTTCAAAAATAAGGAAAGTGTCAAAGTAAGTAAAAATGTTTATGCTATCATGCAAAGAAAATTACCAGAAAAATGCTCGGATCCAGGTGTGTTTACAATTTCGTGCATTATTGGTGATAAGAAAATTGAATTTAGTATGATAGATTTAGGAGCATCTATTAATGTGATGTCATTTTTCCTATATAATTCTTTAAATTTGGGACCACTAAAACAAACAAATGTGGTTATTCAACTTACAAATGGTTCGCATGTTTATCCAGAAGGAATTTTAGAAGATGTTTTAGTACAAGTTAATGAACTAGTTTTTCCTGCAGATTTTTACATTGTAAAAATGGAAAAAATGGTCATGCAAGTTCAACTCCAATTTTTTTAGAAAGGTCATTCATGAAACCAACAAAAACTAGAATTGATGTGGATAAAGGCATTATTTCTGTTGAATGTGATGGTGATATAGTTGAATTTAATGTTTCTAAAGCATTAAAAGGTTTTAATAATTCACATTCTGTTTGTGCTAATGATGTTAATTTGATTAGTGTAGGGTAATCATGTTGAGCTGAATGTCGAGCATAACGACATAAAACAATTGCGCTTTTGGGAGGCAACCCAAGTTTAAACTTCTATCATTTTCATATGATTTTGTTTAATTTTTGGTTTTATTTGTTTTCAGTTTTCTTTCAAAAAAAAAAAAATTTATTTCATTTATCATTTTTTTTGGTTTATTTTCCTTGTTTTTTCTCTTTTGTTTTCAGGAGCTCAGTTAATCTCATGATGAAATCACAACTACTCTTCACCATCCCTATCATCATGAACCATGTAGCTACTTGTGGTATCAACTCCAAGTCTTCACATCTCAAAAGAAATTTTTCAGGAAGCTTCCAAAACTCAATTCTTATACAGTTATTATTAATTTACTGATTGCTTTGCTGGCTATTTTTCAAAATAACTGAGTTGATTCTTTATAAACTTGAATGATGTTTGACTAGAAAATTTGCATGTCTAAGTGCTACTATGTTTTCTATCTTTTTCTAGCTATGCATTTTTTCTTATTTTGCACTTAAAAGATGTTGTTCCAAGCTCCTTGTTTACTTCTTATCAGTGCAATTACGTTGACTTACATTGAGGACTATGTAAAAATTAGGTGTGGGGGAGGATTTTCCTTGTTGCTAATGTTTTCATAAATTCCTACATTGGTTTTAATGTCAAAATCCCCAAAATTTTCAAAAATTTTGGCTCTCTCTACGTGTGCTAATTTGTCAAATTATTTTAAATGATTTTGAGCCAAAATATTTTTGTGTATCCCATTGGTTTCAATGGTTAAGAATGTGCCATATTTGATACAAATTTAACCCTTTCCGTGAGTTTCCATAGCCAAAGAGCACACTTGCTCAATTTTCGAGTGTTATCATTCATAGTATGTTACTACACTGTTTTGCTCATGTCATACATTTCATAACTGCATTGATGAATTTGTGCAATAAATTATAAGGGCATTTAGGTTTTGCCAAGTTTAGCTATCGCAAATTCCTACCTTAATTATTTACCCCTAGTAACCATTTCAAGCCTGGGCCTATTTTCGAGCTCCACTAATATAATCCCGAGCCTACTCTTTAGCTATCTTTTCACCTGTTATTCGGAGTATGTATGATCACTACTTGATTTCGGTTTGCGGAAAGTGGTTGTGTGGTGGCAATAGTGGTATGGTAGGTTTAGTATGATAGGATATGTGTTCTTGTTTTAAGTCCAATAATGTTTTAGCTCTGTATATCTAAAAAGTCAGGACAGTGCAAAAAATAAATGTTATGAAAAAAAAAATGAAATGAAAAAACAAAATAAAAAAATAAAAAAGGCAATATGCTGAAAAAAAAGAGAAAAGAAAAAAAAGGCACTAATTTCTGTTTTATGTGCATTTAGTTATTTGTTTTATGCTTCAACTCCGTTTTGTTTTTGTTTTAAGAAAAGAAAAAAAAATAGAAGAAAAGAAAGAAAAAAAATGGGGTTTGGTGTTTACAATATTTGAATATTTTTTTTAGAACACCATAACTTGGTCATCAAAAGTCTTAGTGACGTATGTTTGATGTAATAGTTCTTTTAGTAGATTGAGATTTGGTTTGTAATAGTATATCAATGTTGCCATCATATGGGTCATCTGGAATGATGGTGAGAATTGAGTATGTGGTCTACATATTGTCGGTAACTTAGCCAACTTATCCATATTTATCCTATCCTTTGAAATTTTCTAGCCCCGTTACAACCCTATGAAAGACCCTTTTGATGTTGCATGATTGTTCATTTAGTGCAAAGAGGATTTGATACATGACAAACCTATGGAATGCATGCTATGTTTATGAGTGAGTGCTTACGTATAAATATCTTTTTCTTTTACGTGTATTGAGTGAATCTTTGTGAGGCATTATAGTTTGGTACATTCTGAAAATGCTATTAAAATGGGTACACAAGTTTTCAAAATGATGAGTGATGCTTTGCTTGTTTTACAAACTATTAACTCTGCTGAAATTTTCAAAATGCTGATTTTTCTTAAAGTTTCAAAACATTTCAGTATGCTTGAGGGCAAACATAGTTTTGGTGTGGGGGAATTTGATAATTATAATAAAATTCATTTTATTGTAATCTTCCAATCCTAAATTGGTTATATTTTAGTGATTATTAATAGATTTTGTTATGACTTTGTTGTTAGGTACCAAAAAGTGAAAAGATGGACCGTTTTGGATTTTTACAGCCCTTTTACAAAGTTTTATTGAGTTAAAAGATGAAGAAAATTCTAGCTGCAAAGAATACACACAAATAGGTTCCTAGAAGATTCTTTTTACCAAATCAACCATCCAAATCTTGATCTCATATTCGGTTGTAGAGAATCATGCAAAAAAAAAAAAAAACTGATTTAGTGGAAAACTAGGATGGGATTTGATTTGTATTTTACTCCCATTTCTTTGGGATTTTTGTTCAGCCATTATGCACTATAAATAGTGGCTTCCTCAATTGATAAAAACACACCACCCCGTAGCTTGCATTTTTTGGCTGCTACTACTTTCTCCATTTTTGCCACCATTTTCATTTAGCCTTTTGTTTTAATTTTTTTTTTACACCTTTAAAGATGTTTTTAGTCACTATGAGTAGCAGTAGGGAACCATAAAAAGAAAAGGCTTTTTATGGCTATCCTATTAAGCCCACGGTTGAATGTTTGAGTTGTAGAAAAATGTATTTTTAGTCGATGATCTATAATATATTTGTATCATTCCTTGAACCAAAGTTTTTCTATTATTAATTTTCTCTCCATTTTTATTACTTCAAATTGTCATTTTATTTTAAAGAAGAAAAATCCTTGAACCATAAAAAGCCTGTTTGTATTTTTGTAAAGCCAAGTGTTAAAAGTCGGCTCTCTTGGGATTCGACCTGATTCCACTATTTAATCAAGTATTTTCTTCCTACTGCTACCAAATTGTTTATGTTGCGATATCGTCTTAAACATTTGGCACTAAGTAGCACATTAGCAGATTATGCATGTTGATAGTGACACGTTGAATGTGCATAATAAGTCTAACTAGGAAATCAATAGGACAAAAATATTTTAATTGTAGCTATCTCAATTATTTTAGTTTTTCGTTCCCTTGATTAAATCTACTTGATTAAATCTAACAATTTAATCAAGTATGGTCTTCTTACTGCTACCAAATTGTTTATGTTGCGTTATCGTCTTAAACATTTGGCACTAAGTAGCACATTAGCAGATTATGCATGTTGATAGTGACACGTTGAATGTGCATAATAAGTCTAACTAGGAGATCAATAGGACAAAAATATTTTAATTGTAGCTATCTCAATTATTTTAGTTTTTCGTTCAACTAAATTTTCAAAGTTTTTATTACTAGTATAATTTAACATGGAACACTATCGTGCCCAATTAAATTATATTAAGTTTTGATTAGGTGCTGGACTTGGTCAAATATTTTTAGAAAATATAAGGCTTTTTATGGCTATCCTATTAAGCCCACGGTTGAATGTTTGAGTTGTAGAAAAATGTATTTTTAGTCGATGATCTATAATATATTTGTATCATTCCTTGAACCAAAGTTTTTCTATTATTAATTTTCTCTCCATTTTTATTACTTCAAATTGTCATTTTATTTTAAAGAAGAAAAATCCCCCTGTTTGTATTTTTGTAAAGCCAAGTGTTAAAAGTCGGCTCTCTTGGGATTCGACCTAATTCCACTATTTCTGCAAATTAATTTTGATCTGTTAGGAAATCAGATTAATTTTTGCCGGTCTCAACAAACCCGCCAAGTTCGCACCAAAGAATCAAAACAAAAAACCTTCTACAAAGAATCCGTATAGCTCAAAGAAGCAAATACACCTAATCCTTCTACAATTAGGAGAATTTTAAACTCCTACTCTATAAATATTCAAGCAAAGAACATCACAAATAAAAGCGTTCTTCTAGGTTTCAAGCTCATTACTTTAGCAAACAAAGCGAGCTGCGGTTACGGAGGATCCAACTACAGGACAGCCTGCAATCTTTAAAGGTAATATTATCCTCTAAATTCCTTACACAAATTATTTACATAAGGATGCCCAGCACTAGTAATATTATAAATCTGCCCGCGCTTTTAAATGCCATTCCCTTGTAGGGATTGGATTAGGGCAAGATTCTGTTGGGGGCTCAAATAAATTGACCCTTTTTCCCTTTCTTCCTTTATTGTGTTGATTTTGTTAATTTATCTTTGCCTGTATATTGAAGGAGTCGGCGAAAGAGAAGAGACATGAAGTATTGCTTAACTGTGGGCGAGATGATTAGCCAACATTACAGATGCAGAACTCCGGGTGAGATTATTAAGGAACATTATGGGGATACTGAGGATGATCCTAGCTGCGGCGACGACCCCAGACTTGACGATCTTCCCGACACCCTTTCGTTTCATGGATCTGATGATGAAGATGAAGATGACTGCGTCGTAAGTTTTTTTTTTTCTTTCCTTTTCTTCGTTATTTTATTTCATATTTCGTAGCGAATATGTACATACGTTTGAGCTTAATTATTTTAACAGAGTTTATATATTTATTATTGTGGTTAGTTTGAGAGTGGATTCTCTAAGGTTAAGGGAGAAGAAGAAAAGGGAACCACTGTTGCGCTAATGGAGGAAGTACCTGGAGCTTCGCCGTCCAAGAAGTTTACTGCTCTAAAGTACTCGGTAGCAGGGAAGGTAAAACTTCAAGTATTTTCTTTTCTTCTTGGAATTAGGGATCAAATTTTATCTCAAACGCTTTCCTTTTTTGTCTTTATTAATTTTGTTGTTGTTGCTTGGGCTGCAGATGAAGAGGAACATGATTAATGATTACAGTGGACCTGATGATCAATTGCCTTCCACATTCAAGATTAATCCCAAACTATCCATCCTGATGATGGTGACGACTAGTATTTTAAGTTTCATGTGTTGTATGCCCTAATTAGGAACAGAACAAGGTAGCCCGAAATTTCAATATTGTACTTCTGAATTCTGGATATAAAAAAGTTGGACAAGGTTCTCCAATCTCATTTGTCTTTCTTTTGATTAGGGGGAGGCAAATTGTACTTGAAACAATACATGATACTCCTTCTCACTTAGGAGTTTGTTTTGAGAGGTCTTTTACGTTTCTTTACTTTGGGTCTTGCTGTTTTTTTTTTTAAACCAAAACAGGTTTACTGAGGAATTAATTAGCTGATCGATTTTGTCTTCTTTAACAAATAGTGGTGTTTCGTATCATCAACAGTGCTCTTTCTAGAAATGTACTAAAGAATAGAACCGCCACTAAACTCTTTCCCGTCTCGCAGGGGAAAAAAAAATCTAATTTATTCCTTACTCCTCCTCATACATGACAAATTTTATAATGTACTAGTATTATGCCCACACGTTATGCGAATTTTACTATATTTTAGGCCCTGTTTGATAAACGAATTAAGCACTTAAACTTATTAATTAAATACTTAATTGATTAGCACTGTTTGATAACACACTATCATAGCAACTTAATTGCTTAAGAACTTAATTTATTAAGGACTTAAATTTTAAGTGTGTTTGATAACTCAAAGTAAGATGTCTTAATAAATTAAGTGGGTCTGAAATGCTAGTACAAATGTGAGCCTAAAAATAAGTAATATGCCTATCACTTATGTCTGAACTGAATTCTTGAGGCGATTTTTTTTCTATTTATTTATTTTTATGTTTATACTTTTGATATTTTATCTTCAAATATTTTTATCAATCATGATGTCTAGTTCTAAATTAAAATTTATGTAAATTATTTTTTATTTAATAAATATTTATTTTTATATAAAAATTAAAATCCATTAAATACCATGATCAATATATCTTTACCATAAAATATGAATTTTTTTTTGACAATGATAAAATATGACATTATTATTAACTGAAAAAATAATAATAAAATTTAAATCTTTTTATTACATTATTTAATAATAATATTATTATTTTTGTTATTATACTTTCATATACAATAATTATTTTTGTAGATAAAATTATAAGTCGAGATACTTTAAATTTCAGTGTTCAGACTTCAGATTTCAGACATTTTATTCAGTGTTTAGATTTTGGTTTTTATCAAACACGACAAATTTAATCAATTCAGTACTTATGATTCAGTATTCAGATTTCAAACTTCAGACCCAAATTAAGTTTTATCAAACGGGCCCTTAGAGTAACATTAATATACCATTATTTCTCTATGAAAAGTGTCATATATTTTAGTTTTTCCCGTTTTTTAGTATATTAGGCATTCGGAGTCTAAATTCAAAAGTGTCATATGTTTTTTTTTTTTTCGTTGTTGTTATATAGTGCATCCGGTTTCAAAATTATTGTTCCAACTAATCCGTCTTTGAATCGGAAAGGTCACTTCTGGAAGATAAACCTCTCCCAACAATCATTAATACATGCTCATGCACAGGTTTAATCATAGATTGTAGTTAACTTGGCCCAATAGTGTGACCACTTTGATCAAGTACTTCTTAGCCATATAGGTATTTTAAAATACAAATTAATATGTTCAACTATCTAATATGTTTCTTATTTAGAAGTGTTAGTATATATATAAAAAAATTCTAAATACGAATCAATATGATCAATTGTCTACTATCCTATTTTTTTAGAGATATAAGTATATAAAAGTTATTTTCAACAATAAAAGTTAAATGTATATTCTTAAAATATATTGACTTAAAAACATATATTGTTTACTTGTAGTAATTGAATTAAATATTATAAATAATCTTTTTTTAGGCATAAAGAAGAATAAAAAAATAATAGAAAATTCCAACAAAAGTAAATAAAGTACAAAAAATAGGGGAAAAAACCATGACAAAAAAACTAATAAATAATGTTTGAAATACTTATCCATACTCCAAAATTTTTCCTTAGTTTTTTTAATAGCAAAATAGGTTGTACCTGGCGGGTGCAGGACCTATTTTATTTATCTGGACTCATAACTTTTTTCCTTAGTTATGAGTGATTTTCGAGTTGCTTATTCTTTTGTCATCACGGTACCACACTTCTCTTGTAGAATCAAAACACATAGATAATCATGCACTTAAAGTAAATATATTTAACTATTAATATCTCAAATAAATTATATATTTACCTTCAGACTCTAGAGCATGAGTAATTTCGTTTTAGTCTGTCTGGCTCCTTTAGACAGAAATTGATGCATAACTATTTTTTAGCTAAACCCATTGAAATTCTATAATAGCAACGATGCAAAACATACCAAAATGAGACCTTCGTGATTCTTTAAAAATAAAACCATCAATACTCATAAATATTTGTCAATGACGACATACAATAGAAATAATCCCTAACATGGAAAATAAAATGCATGTTCTAAAAATAATGCCTCCCCTCTAGAAAAGAAAAGGTATGTCAGTAGTATCAAAATTTTCTTTATAATGTCGAAATTTAAAACGCAAGATAAAATAATTAGTTAACAGTTTAAAACAAAGGGAAAAAATTATATAAATTTTTCCCATTGACGAACCTTTAGCAATTAGCGACTACATTTCCCATTATTAATCATAAATCAGACGGAAGGTCGTCTACAAGTATCCACACTGGAATAAGCTAACGAACCTTCTTCAACACAAGCAAAATTAAGAAATCAAGTAAAATTCTAACAACCACTCTAAAACACTAAGTTAATAATATTAAAGTACAACTTATTATGTCAATTGAAACCTATCATACTCCCTTTTCGACCAACAAATTAAAAATATCTGTCTAGCATTACAACTCAACAAAGAGAGATGCCAGTGTACATCTTTCAGGCAAAAAAAAGGAGAAGATCGAAGGGGAGGAGGAGGGGGAAGAGATAGAGGACGAAAGGGAAGGGAAGAAGAGGAGAGAATGAGAGCGTAACCTCTTTATTTTTTTAGTGACTAGTCCTTTTTATTTTTTTAAAAAATATCAAATAAAATTATGTGGAAAATAATATTAACCTACATTTAACGTATTCTGATCTGGTTGTAAATTGTATTGTAAGAAAAATTATTTGGTACTTATCTCTTTTTATTTTTAGTAACCCAACTCTTTTTGTTTTTGAAAATTACATTAAATGGAATCATCTTTAAAAAATAATACTAACCAACATTGAATGTGTCCGGACTTAGTTTCAAATTTTATTCGTAATAATTTGCTAACTAAATCTCTTTTATTTTTGATAACTAATCTTTTTTCTTTAATTTTTGAAAAATATATCAAATGACATCATCCGAGAAATAATATTAACCTACATTTAATGTATCTAGATTTAGTTTCGAATTGTATTCATAATATAATTTTTTTTATAAATAATCTCTTTTTACTTTTGGAAAATATTTCAATTGGAATCCTGAAAAATAATGTTAATCCAAGTTTAATGGATATAGACTTGGTCCCAATTGTATACGTACGTAGTATAATCATTTGCTAACTAATCTCCTTTTAGTTTTTGTAATTAAACTCTTTTTATTTTTGGAAAATAAATCAAATGAAATTATTTATAAATTAATATTAGCATAAGTATGATGTATCTAAACTTGATTTCAAATTGTATTCGTAATATAATGATTTGGCAACTAATCTTTATATTTTTTATAACTATTTTTTTATTTTTGAAAAATATATCAAATGGAATCATTTAAAATAATACTAATATACATTTAATGTGTCTAGTCTTAGTTTTGAATTGTATTCGTAATATAAAGATTCGGTAACTAATCTCTGTATTTTTGTAATTAATCTCTTTTTATTTTTGGAAATATATCAAATAAAATATTTTGAGAAATATTATTAGTCTACATTTAATGAATCCAGACTTAGTTTTCAAATTGTATTCATAACATAATTATTTGTAACTAATCTCCTTTTATTTTTTTAAATTAATCTCTTTTTATTTTTTGAAAAATATATTAAATGGAATCATCTGTGAGATAATATTAACCTCTCTTGCATATATACAGAATTAGTTTCATATTGTATTTGCAATATAATTATTTGGTAACAAATATATTTTTTTGTTATTGGTAACTAATCTATTTCTATTTTTGGAAAATATATCAAATAGAATCATCAGAAAAATATTATCGACTTATGTTTAATATATCAAGACTTAGTTTTGAATTATACTCGTACAATTATTTGGTAATAATCTTTTCATTTTGGTAAGTAGTCTCTTTTTATTTATGAAAAATATACCAATTATCTAAGAAATAATATTAACATACTTGTAATGTAGGTAGACTTGGTTTCGTATTGTATTCGTAATATAGTTATTTGGTAACAACCATTTTTTTTTGGTAACTAATATCTTTTAATTTTGAAAAATATATCAAACAGAATCATCTAAAAAATAATATTAACTTACGTTTAATGTATTCAGACTTAGTTTCAAACTGTATTCTTAATACAATTATATATTTGATAATTAATGTTTCCTTATGTCATGTATTTGTCAATAATTACCAGAGACGTGTTTACTTTTTTCGAAATTAATTACTTACTTCAATTTATTAATTTTACGTATTAGTAATAAAATTTTAATTGTTTAATGAAGGAGAATTTTGGTGACGACACGTGACACAATTGGCTAAACTTGCTCCCTGGGTGACACGTGTCCATTAAAAACTCTGTTTTAATATATACTAGTGTTTATCCCACACGTTGTGTGGATTGTTCAGGATACATATAGTTTAATGATTTAATGATCATATATATGACATTTCTGATTGAGTGATGTATAAAAAAAAAATAATTTTGATAATATAAATTGTAATTGTTTAATATTTATTGTCACTGTGTTTTGTTATTTTAAGTACATTTAGAATAATTTCAAAATTTGAAATGATCTAATGTAACTTACTGTTTATCTTTTCATTTTGTTGATTTATGGTTTTATATATTTCTAAAATATTGTGATAATTTTTGACAATGATCTGTGAAGCCCCGTT